AAATATCTTCCAATTCCTAGATTCTTTCTTCTGCTTCCTTTATTCTATTTTGGAGACTCTCCACTGTACTTTTAATTTGCTCTACTGTGTTCTTAATTTCTGATGTATCAGCCTTGATTTGCTTTATTGCTGCTATTTGCTGTTTAACGTATCCCTTAATTACTTTGAACTCTTGTATGTGTTTCTCATTTTTGATCAGAAGCTTTAAAATGAGTTTTCTGAATTCTGTGTCCCCCATTTTCTCTTCCTCTGCTAATTCTGAGGTTGGCATAGGATTTTGCTCCTTTGCAGGGGAGTTTTCAGTAACACTCATTGTGCCTCTGTCTCTTCTTTTGCTCTTGATCATTGTACTTCTGGTTAGCAGAGTCTTCTCCTCGGGGCAGGTTTCTATGCTGTGTCACCCACAGGTCTACTGTTCGATTTTACTTATTGCAGTTGGTACCCAGCTCTTTGCTTGCAGCCACTTGTGCCACAACCTCCAGCGAGTTCCAGGTCTGGGTTCTTATGTCAGATTTCCACTGTGGTCTCCACAGCCCCAGCTCCTGGCTCACCAATCTCCACCTCCTGTGATACTGTGCTGAGGTTACACTGTTGTCTCTGCAACCTTTCTCCCACTTCCGGTTGGAGCAGGTCCCAGGATTAGGGAGACCAGGTGTCCTATATAGCTAAGTTGTTGGTGGTGCTGATCTTTCCAGAACATGTTGGTCATTATGTCTGAGGGCTACATGGACCTATTTTGACCCATATGATGCCACAGTCGGTTTTATTTTCCAGTGCAACCAGTGCAATGCACTGAACTCAGTGAGTTCTTGCAAGCTCAGCACATGCGCAGTTCACTGTTGTCCCTGCAGTCCTAAAACTTTTGCCACACCGTACAAAATGGCGCCTGACATACCATTCCTGGAGTTCTTGATCTGCTGGCCGTCAGGTCTGAGGGCTACCCAGACTTGTCTTGAGTGGAACCTATAGAATGCCACGTTGTTGCAGTTCACTGAGTCAGAAATGAGTTCGCTGCCAGCTCAGCACATGCTCAGTCCTTTCCCTTGCCCTTGCCTCATTATGCAAAATGGTACCCAATTCAGCTCTAGGGAGCTGACCGGGCTGTGAAATCCACCCTGTTCTCGCACTGTCCATCTGGGATCTGCCGCTCTGTCTCTGCTCCTGGTCAAATCAAACAGACCAACAGGATGGACAGTTCTTTGTCTGGGTTCACCTCCCAAGCTCCCAGTGAAAGTCCCTTCCCACCTGGTTGCTGGTGGAGTCCTGGCTGCTGGTGGAGTTCAGATTGCCGCTAGCTGAATGCCACTGGAGTATCAGTCATTGCAACACCACACCGTTGTGTCCGCTGCTTTCCTGTGTCTGTCAGTCTCCAGGTACCCCTCTGCTGTTGTTCTGTCCTCTCCTGTTTCCTGGAATGTGTCCTCTCTGCCTCATCCTGATCAAATGTTTCTCCACCCATTTAAATGAGTCCTTACCCTATTCTGCCATCTTGATTCCCCCCCTTCAGATTTTAATACATTCTTTTATATAATTAGTACATGGTAACTACATCTTTATGAGTTCGGTGAGATATTTTGATGCACAGATACAAAATGTATCATGATCTAATCAGAGTAATTGATGCAGCCCTCACCTCAAACACTTAGCAGGTCTGTAGGTTAGCAATGTTTAGCTGCTTAGACAGAAACCACAGACTGTTGTAGGCTCACCCTGTTGTGCTGCAGCTCTGGGATGACCCTCCCGTGGAACCATGAGCCAGGATATCCACAGGATCTCACCCTAGCCTCCTCTGTGAGCTTGGCCTGCTCCCAGCTGCCACCTCTCCATCTTGTGGTCTTGCTGGACCCTCATCATCACCAAGAAATGATTGCAGCACCCAGGAAATCTCAGCTCCCACCTTTTGTTCCACCACTTCGCCCCTCACCCCCTCCAATGGGAAACCCAGTGACCTCATCCCGCTCTCAGTGGGTAAAGCTGCACCCCTCTTAAACCTCGTCCCACATCCCCCTGAACAGCTGAACCCCAGACCACCGACCCCAGCACCACCAGGACCTCCCTGTTGCCTGGCTGTAAGGCTGTGATACCAGCCCCTCCATCTGCCTCCTCTTTTCCTGGATGAGTGGGGCCATCAGCAGAGACCTTCCACAGCCTCCAGACACTCACCCAGTAGCACCTGTCCTGCCGAGCTCCTGTCCACAACACCCCACAAAGTCACTCAGCCTGGCCTTGCCAAGGCAACCCCAGGCATGACCTGAAATTCGATCAATCTACAGCAGGCTGGTTCCTAAGCTTTGATAACATTGCATAGCCAGCCTGAATGACTGTTGACAGAAAAATGATCCCCATCCCTGTCAGAAACACTCTTCTCTGGACCCCCAATCCCTGGAGCGGCCTCTCTGACCCTGTGCTGCCCTAGTAATGGCTCTCCCCAATGCCCATGTTCCCCTCTTTCAAGCTGGCTCCAAAGCCATGGCTGCATCTGCTCCATGGTGGCCCTCTGCCTCCCTCCCCGACCCATCTCCCAAGCAGGTGAGCACACCCTCTCCTCCACTCTCTCCACTTCCTTCTTTCCTCTCCCTGACCCTAGCCTCCCCATACTCCATGTGGGTACCCAGATGAACTCCTGACTCCTGCAACCATGGAGGCACCACAACAGCCCCCAGCCCTGCCCTCGATGGGTCGCACCCACATGGTGGTGGCCCTCCCCGACTCCTCACGCGGCCATCATGGACTTCTCCTGACACCACCCGCAGAATCAACCCAGACTCCCACCACCTGCACTGCTGGTCACCTCTCCCCACCATTGGCTCTGGGTTTGACCCTCACCATATCATCATCAGCCACACATCCTGGTCACATAACTGCTTAGGGGTGGACCAGCTACGGGCAGAGGGCCTGGATGAGCTGCTGTGGGCGCTCATCTGTGGAGTCGAGGTCAAGTGCGCGGTCTGGACAGAGTGCCTGGGATCCAAATTCGGTGTGTGTGAGTGGGACTCTGGGAAAGAGAGAACACTACACATGACCTCCTGGGGGGAGACACAGTGAGGTGGGGGGGGGCCCTTGGGAGTGCACTTGATGTACATGCGGGGCTTGCTGACTCAGGCAGGTCGGAGTAGGGACGTGGAAGCGCAGACAAAAGCGTAGATGAGGTGGATTCAGGCACACTGACATCCAAAACCAATGCCAGGTTCGTCTGGTGGCTTTTGTGCTCTTGGTGAGCTAGGAAGCAAGGACGGCAGCTGACAGTGAGGCGTTACTAACTCCCAGCTCTGCCAAGACTGTCGTCTAGACTTGAGGAAGCCGCAGCCTCTGGTTCTCATTCTTGGGTCTTGCATATGAGTTTTTCAAGCCAAAACCTTGGTCATCTCTCACCTGTTCCCGCCATCAATCAGCCCGGGATCCCCGTCTACTCCTTGCTCTCACTCCTGCATCCCCACTGCCAGCACCTTCAGGAAGACCCTCGCAGTACACCTGGCCCCCCCTCACACCACTCCTCCATGCAGAACCCCCTGGGACTCCATGCCGTCGCCAGCCTGTGACGCAGGACCAGGCCTGCATCTAGCTGGGCCCCCCCACCGGCCTTCCCTTCACATCTGAGCCCTCAAGAGCCCCAAGTCCTGGTGTGTCCGCAGTTCTTCCATTTCTGCAGGGACCCCCTCTCCCCTTCTTCACCTAAGTCACCACTCTCCCTCCGGTCTCAGTCCAGCCTCCCTGGCTCAGTTCCCAGAGCTGCCTGTTCCTCCCCGTGACAGCTTCCTTCAGGGGGCGTCTGCTTGGTGTACAGTCTGCAAGGCAACGACCCTACCTCCCATTCTCATTGCTGGGTCTCATTGCTCATCTCTCCCATGCCTCCTGGCCCCAGAATGCCTGTTGTGGCACCACCTGCTGCAGCCGCTTCCCCGTGCCCGTCTCAGCCTCCAGATGGAGTGGGCTGTCCTGGTGTGGAACGTACCTAAGGACTTGGGAGTCGGGAGATCTCCTTCCAGGGTGCATTGCCACCCTCACCCCCTCCAGTTGGTCTCAGCTTCTTTTAGGGGATTGGCTCCAGGACCCCTGAGTATACCCAAACCCACAGATGCCCAAGTCCCGTGCGTAGCACAGCACGTAGCACCTGAAATTGTCTCCAGATCGCTTACAACACTAATACTGTCACTGCCACGTGGTCCTCACACCGTGTGCAGGGAGCTCATGTCCAGGGGCAGGCACAGGTTTTTGACTGAGCCTGTGTAGAGTGTGGCTGTGGGCCATTCGCCGCCCTCTGTGTTAGCATGCAGAAATGGCCACTGCTCCTCTCAGGAAGATCCCTGGGAAGGTCAAGGGCAAACCGGAAGCAAGGGCTCTCAGGGATTCTTACCGTTCTCCCCAACCCTCGGGTGGTGCGGTGCAGGCCCCGTGTTCTGTGGCTCTGACCCACTTCCAGACTGCCCCACACACATCAACCCCGGACAGGCCCATGGAGAACCCTCGCTTCCATCCTTCCTTGTGTAGAAGACACCCCGCCCCCTCCCCAAGCCTTGATCTTCTAGCAGGAACCCAGCGTGGGTGAGCGCCAGGCAGGCAGCCTTACGCATGCCCAAACCACTCCCCATGGGCGCTGTCATTCCCACCACAGCACTGCCAGGCTCTCCGAGGGCCCAGAGCCTCTCCTGGCCCTGCCACGCGGCCTTAAGGCTGGGGCTGTGCTAGGACCCAGGGACCCTCCTGGCTCTGCCACGCGGCCTTCAGGCAGCTGAGGCTGTGCTGGGACCTGGGGGCCCTCCTGGCCCTGCCATGCAACTGAGGCTGTGCTGGGACCCGGGGGCCCTCCTGGCCCTGCCACGCGGCCTTCGGGCACAGGCTGTGCTGGGACCCGGGGGCCCTCCTGGCCCTGCCATGCAGCTGAGGCTGTGCTGGGACCCGGGGGCCCTCCTGGCTCTGCCATGCAGCTGAGGCTGTGCTGGGGTTGGACAAAGGGTCGCTGTGTCCGTGCTGACTGTGGCTTCTCTGCTTGTGTTTTGCAGGTCCTCCAGTAAGTGTCCGGGATGTGCACTCTGCTCCTGACAGATAAGACATTAGGTTCTGTCCCCGTAGCATGTCCATGCAAGTGGCTTTTGGTGAGAGAGGCAGGCCTTTTTAAAATAGAGAACCCTCAGCCAAGGCAACGTCCACATCATTTTTGATTGGCAGGTGGAGGCAGGTGCAGAATGCCTGACCACCTCCCGGGGCCCTTTTCCTTCCTCGGGCGCTGGCACAAGCCCACCTGTGGCTGAGCCTGGAACAGACTGCAGGTGCACACACACACTTTCTTGGGGCACTGCAGGCTCCATCTCTGTCCGGGCTCTGGTATCAGGCTGGGACTGCAGGGACAATCCCACATCCGAGAATCAGTCTCTTTCTCCGTGAGAACCCATTTCGTTTGTTCCCCAGGCTGGTGAGAAGCTTGTGGCACTGTAGGGAAATGCCACCGTGCTCACGAGGGGGTGAGAACCCCAGGCCCCAGAAGCAGCCCTAGACACAGGTTGGCAGGGGCCCTTTGGCTCCCAGGGGTGCAGGCGGTGTCTGCCTAGGCTTCCCCGGGGCAGCTTTCCACGCCCCAGTGAACCCACCCAACAAGCGCTTGGCCTGCCCACGGCCACGCCTTTCCCGTGAGCCTTTGGCTTCTGCCTGCATTTGCTGTGATGGCTTTGGGCTTCTGCAAACACGTAGCCCCACCCTAAGCCGCTGGCACGGAGGTCTTCCCAGATGCCCCCCCAACCCTAGCAGAGAACTAAGGGGCGGCGAGTTGTGGGTGCAGGGCAGTTGTCGGTTTGTTTTATGCGTGTGTGTGGGTTTTTTGCTTTAAACTAGGTTGTTCAAATAGTTGATGTTTTATACGCGGAATTTCTCAACCTGTGACCTGCACAGGGCCTGAAGGGGAGATTGAGGTCCGTGTCAGGATAGGAGGCTCCTGTGGCATAAACGTGCCCTTTCCCAGCTCCCCCATTCCAGGGACAACTGGAGGGGCTGAGTCCCCTCACCCCGAGGCCTCTCTGCTGGCCCCACTCCACAATGTTGTAGGTTCCTGGTCCAGTCACAGCGGCTGTGTGACACTGCCCTCCCCATGTCTCCGTGGTGTTCAAACCCAATGCCCCAGCTAATGTGGAATAGGGTGACCCTCATAAGTGTGTACTTGGGTGGCCCCGAAGACGCCCATGGCTGGTGGTCCTCCAGACCCCCGAAGGAGCCAGCCCCCAGCGGCCTCTGAGCAGGGCCGAGTTCCGGATGCTGCCGAAAGCCGATGATTAACGCCGCATTAATCACCACAGGGCCAGTCGGGACGAGATGGCTACCCGGTAACTTGTCATTTATTTATTATTATTATTATTATTATTATTATTATTATTATTCTCTTTACTCTCTTCTGCCACCACTGTCCCTCTGAGCCTCTGCTCTCTGCCTCTTCCCCTCCGCTCTCGGGGCTGCTGGTCTCTGCCCAGCCCAGCCTGCTGAATCACTGCCCACGGACAGGAAGCTGCTCAGCTCCATGGCTGCCTTCGTGGAGTGGTCAGTTCTCAGCTCTATAACATTCCCACCTCATCAGAGGGAGTGTGTGGCCCCGCAGAGGTGGCGGTAACCTAAGGGTGGAACAGGCAAGTGTGGCTGGGTTCCAACAGCATCCGTCCAGACTTCGGGAAGGCCTGGAGGGCTCCTCCTGGAGGGGGCCTAGAAAGGCCCCATCCCAGGCAACGGGGAGACCCAGCTCAGATGGCAGCTGTGCCACCTGTCAGTTGGGTAACCCTAGCAAAGGTGCCTTCCATCCCTGAGCCTCCCATCCCAAACAGGGATTAAATGTGCCAGCTCTGCACAGAGTACAGACTCGGTCACAAGGCCATGGGGTGCATGCCCCTCATACCCAGAGTAGGCAGGCCTCTCACCAGGCTTTGTGTGAAGAAAGGACTAGAAGGAGATGGCCGTAACCCACTTCCACCCAGGGTCCCAGCAATATCGCCAGCCCCTCCTTCTGGCCAGCGAGGAGTCAGTCTGGGCAGCTGGCTCCCCTATAGCCGGCTTGAGCGGTGCAGCAGGACTGACTCCTGGCTGTCCCTCTTTACGATGGATCAGAGCCCAGGAAACCCATCCTAAGCGGGAGATGTGGCGGAAAACGCACTGGAGGCTCCGACCCACCGCATGCCCTGGAGAACATGGAGCCACCACCACCCTGCGTCCCCAGAGAGGATGGGATGGCCGGGTGCTGCCCAGGGAATCCCAAGTACCACTTGCACCCCAAGTGTACAATGCTGCTGTGCTGTGCGGAGTGGGAAGCTCGCAAGCACAGCTCATGGTTTCTCCCTTGAGCCCCTAGGAGACCCGGGCACCCCCTTTCCCAGCTGGGAGCCACAGAGAGGACCATGAGCTGCTAATGGGAGTCGTTTCTCTCAGATTCTCAGCTGCCAGGACCTGGCACGGGAGGAGTGGCCACAGCCACCGTGGCCTCAAACAGCAGGTCCACACCTGATGTGTTCAGGGCTAACAAGGCCCCTGGGGTCACCTGATCTGTGCCCTCCTGGTTCTAGGTCTGTCTGTCCTTTCTGCTTGCATAAGTTCATTAATAGCGCCCCTCTGATTAAAAGGGGAGCATGGTTATTGCCAAATATTAGAGAAGCAAAGTACAAGGAAGGGGGGGAAAAATCCATAATCCTCTACATAGTTTAGTGGGTTTTCTAAATCTTTCATATGCAACTTTGTATTTATTGCTATAAAAGCGGGATTGCAGGAGACATGCGGTGGGGTAGCATAAATATATCCTGAGACGTTTCCACATCTTTAAGAGTTCTCGTGGACTGTAATGGCTATATCATAATTGAACATGTGTGTATTGTACATATATGTGTGTATATATATATATATATAAATACACATGTTATAGGATTTAGCCAATGTCGAAGTTAGATTTGTCTCACCCTCGTGGTCAACCACCTGCACACTTGTTTCTGGAATTATCTCCCAGATAAGTGTGTGTTCGCATCGCTGCGCCAAAGGGCTGACACGTGCACACTGCGCTGGGCCTCCTGGTGTACACTGCCACCCAAGAAGATGTCCACGTCTACATTCCACCAGCAACATATGAACACTGGCTGTTTCCCCAGACCCTGACCGACTGCAGCCACACTCTTAAATGTATGCCAATACGACAAGTTCTTGAAATATGGTCGTGCCTGCCCAGACCTTGTCTTCCTTTAGGGTGTAGTTTCATTAGGAGGATTTTTAAAGAGGTTTGTGCGGTGCGTGGGCCTCACTTCCATTTATTGGTGAAGCTTGATATTGAAGGCTCAGAGCTTGAACAGCTCGCACATCCCAGGGGGTCTGAGGATGTGGCAGGTCAGAAGGAGTCACCAGCTTAGGGGGGACCTCTGATCCCAGGACACTGGGCTGCAGTGGCTGTGGGCACAGCGTTCTCCAGCTCTGGAGGGTATTCAGCGAGTGTTGGTAAGCGGATTCTGCCATCTCGTACACAGGAAGCTTGACATAGCTCAGCTCACCTGCGTGATGTCTGGCTGAGCAGTGGGTAATGCCAAGATGGGGCAGTCCAGGCTCAGTCTCTGCAGACTGGCATGGCCAAGCTGCCGTGAGACAGGGACTCCTTCCTTCCTGGTGGTGGCTGGGCAAGGAGCAAGGACGTATCTGGGAGACAAGGCTGGACCTCTGCAACACCTGGACATTTGCACAGAAAGCATCAAACTTTCTCATCAGTTCCTGTTTGCATGCAAGCGCGCCCTTTCCTTCTTTCTGTTTTGACTGTCTTGGTTCTTCACGTGGAATTTCCTGAATTTCTAGGTTGTTTTGCACATTCAGAAGGCAGTGACCACTTCTTGATGCAGTGGGGTGCGCTGTGTTGAGTGTACAGCTGGGGGGATTCATAGCTGTGATTGGATGAGACGATCAGAAGGCTTTGGGAGAGTCATTAGAACGGAGACAGAGCGGCAGACATGACCTAGCAATTCAGACACCTCTTAGGGTGCCGTGTCCCACAGCAGGGTGCCCGGGGTCAACGCCCAGCTTCCTACTGATGCAGACAGCTGACAGCTCAGCACTTGGGTCCCTAACACCCATTATAATAACTAACTAAATAAATAAATAAATCTATTTGTATTGGAAAAGCAGATTTACAGAAAGATCTTCCATTCGCTGGTTCACTCTCCAAATGGCCTCAGCAGCCAGAGCTAAGCTAATCCAAAACCAAGAGCCAAGAGCCTCTTCCCAATCTCCCACATAGGGGCAGGCTCCCCAGGCCATGCTTTCTCGCTCACCATGGGCTTAACCTTGGTGTCTCTCTCTCCTCCATGCACACACCAGAGCTCAGCGACACGCACAGTGACACCCAGACATCGTGTCTCCCTGCTGTCAACTCGGGGTTCCCCCTGTGTGTCCTCAGAGCTAGGCACCCAACTTTCTGGTTCACCACGTATGAAGGAGTGTGGGCTTCCTTGTGCCATACCTGCTCCTCTGGTAGCGTGAGGTTCCCCACGCAGTCAAGACCCTTGCTCTGGGCCCCGCGTGGGAGGAGTGACTAAAACTGCTTGGACCCCAGAGGTCTCCCACACAGCGACCTGTAGGGTGGTGGCGTTTGGAGACAGACAGCTCTCGTGTGCTGCTTCGCTTGGCCAGGCCAAAGCCAGGGTCCAGAACACAACCAAGGCCTCCCACTGGGGGGTACGAGGACAGTGACCTGGGACAGCACAATCCCCAGGAACTGTGGAGGGGCTCCAGGACCAGGAGTGGAACCCGGTGCCATGTGTCGTGGGAGGTGAATAGGAACAAGACAGGAAGGAGGGTGGGAACCATCCACACTGCACATTTACAGCCTGTGAGCACACACCACGTGACCCCACTGCGCACACACAGGCTGTGGGAACACGCCATGCCACCCCATTGCACACACACAGGCCATGGGAACACGCCATGCCACCCCATTGCACACACAGGCTATGGGAACACGCCATGCCACCCCATTGCACACACACAGGCTGTGGGAACACGCCATGCCACCCCATTGCACACACAGGCTATGGGAACACGCCATGCCACCCCATTGCACACACAGGCTGTGGGAACACGCCATGCCACCCCATTGCACACACAGGCTGTGGGCACACACCGTGCCCCACTGCACACACACAGGCCATGAGCACATGCCATGCCCACCCCACAGCACACACACAGGCTGTGGGAACACGCCATGCCACCCCATTGCACACACACAGGCCATGGGAACACGCCATGCCACCCCATTGCACACACATAGGCCATGGGAACACGCCATGCCACCCCATTGCACACACAGGCTGTAGGAACACGCCATGCCACCCCATTGCACACACAGGCTGTGGGAACACGCCATGCCACCCCATTGCACACACACAGGCCATGGGAACACGCCATGCCACCCCATTGCACACACACAGGCCATGGGAACACGCCATGCCACCCCATTGCACACACACAGGCCATGGGAACACGCCATGCCACCCCATTGCACACACAGGCTGTGGGAACACGCCATGCCACCCCATTGCACACACAGGCTGTGGGAACACGCCATGCCACCCCACTGCACACACACAGGCCATGAGCACATGCCATGCCACCCCATTGCACACACACAGGCCGTGGGAACACGCCATGCCACCCCATTGCACACACAGGCTGTGGGCACACACCATGCCCCACTGCACACACACAGGCCATGAGCACATGTCATGCCCACCCCACTGCACACACACAGGCTGTGGGAACACGCCATGCCACCCCATTGCACACACAGGCCATGAGCACATGTCATGCCCACCCCACTGCACACACACAGGCCGTGGGAACACGGAGTCAGGGGGTTGGGGGGATAGTTCTGTGATGCCCTAAGGAAGTCCAATCCAGAGTCGCACTGTGGGAGGTGCTGGGGCCCAGAGCTGAGCTCTCCCTGATCCCAGCACTGTGCAGGGGACCCATCCGCCCAAACCCCCAGGGGCTGCACACTCGCTCTGCGTGAATCGTGGACGAGTTGCAGCCAGGACCCTGGGGACAGCACCGGCCCTGGACAGCCGTGTGGTCTGTGAGCCTGAATCCCAACCTGGGACCAATTTTGCCATGAATGACTCAGTCGGGCTGTTTGGAATTAACTAAGTGAACGAAAGGGGCTCTGAGCACCAAGCCTACATGTGCTTCCTTATGCTCTCGTGGTTCAAAAACAGCTTTGATTGTAAAAGCGTAATTAGTTAAATGATTCATCCGTAATGTCCCCAGTGCATCTGGCTTTCAGATTTTAACATCCTCCATCTCGTTGCCGTGACCCCTGCAG